ATCGATCGACGGTAGATCGATTGGTGTGGTAACACCTTAAACCAACGACTTCTATGTATACTACTCTAGATTAGCAATTCAGAACAATACACAGCTGTGAATCGCTTGGGCGCAAGATGGACGAGCACATGGTACATATGCCACGCAGTTATATTTTCATTCACGACAACGAGTTACTGTTTTTAGGCAAATACGAAATATATACTTATCTGAAATAAACTTCAAATCACATTGACAAAGTGCGCACATAAATAATGACAGCGTTTTCTTAGTCACATTAAACAAAATCTTAGTCTTCTCGGCCGCTTGCAGCCGACTTAAATAGTTACGGAGAATTGACCGTAACTAATTGCGCAATGTATAAAGATCGCAGAGCTCATCTAGTAGTATACATAGAAGTCTTTGGTTTAAACCATAGTTTAAACCCAATCTTAATAAACCACGTTTAATATTAAGATGGTATATGAATATGATGACAACCAAAACGAGTTACAATTTACAATATTTTCTTTAATGCACGCACGCCTAAATAGTATACACAAGTTTGGACTGGAATTTCGCATTGCTGAGTAAGCACAGGCCGACAATCAAGCTGTGGTATTTTTTGGCAAGTCAACCTGTCAACCCTCTAATATGATAAAATTTAAATAAATATTCTTGCTTTTTCACAAATAAAAATATAAAATTTTAACAGACATCAAATACATGTTGATATGTTAAAAAAATAACAAATACATAAACATACAAATATAAAGTTAACAAATTTAAAAAGGTTTTTGGTCAATACATTGTAACCAAAATAGGTTTAGTAGGCAAAACATACTATTTTTGTTACATTTTCTGGTTTTAATATTGATTCTTTATAAAATATTTTAAACACAATTTTGAATTCATTGTTCATAGCAATTATACCTGTATCAATATCATCCATTTCATCACCACATTCAGCCTTTAATTTGATGCATATCTGAAAGAATAAAATATTCTTATTTCTTTCAAGTATTTGTCACAGAAGTATTTCGACGATGGTTATATTGTTAATTAGCATAAGAAATATAACAAGAATTATTTAAACACGTTGTTATCACGAAATCGGAACATCTTGATATGCGAGATATACCAATACAGCTCTTAAAGGTAACCACTGTAACAGTTTTAAAACCTTACAGTAGTGAAACGCCTTTGATGTACGGCGATGCCTTCGCCCGCGTAGGTATTTACGCGTCAGCGTGTATTCTTGGAGTTGTCACGAAAATGGAAATAAAATGATTTTAGATATTATAATACTCATTGTCATTCATTAACGTTATGTACATACTTATAAGTATAATGTTCGTAAGTGACTGCCTCGTTGCTCTAGTGGTTGTAGTAGTGCGATTGCTGATCATGAGGTCCTGGGTTCGAATCCCGGGTCGGGCCAAAAATTAATTATTGAGTTTTTCCGTCAAGAAATTCTCATTAGTTGCCCGGAGTCAGGATGTTGGCGGTGTCTCACCCCCGTGCCTCGGAAAGCACGTAAAGCCGTTGGTCCTGCGCCTGATCTCTCTCCGGTCGTGTCGGTTTACCGTCCCATCGGATTATGAGAGTGAGGGAATAGAGAGTGCACCTGTGCTTGCGCATACACTTGGACACTATAATCCTGTCCTGCGCCGGTGGCTAGCCTCCGTTGAGGCAGGCCGCCGTGGCCGAAATTCGGTCAGGAGGACATTATTATTATACTTATAAGTTAAAAAAGTTTATTGAACAAGATCATTTTTTATTACTACAAGAAAAACACATTTACGTGTCTTGCACTGCCAAATATTTTCGTGTCACTTTCTTTTTATAGATGTTTTCAGTTTTCGATTGTTAAATTTAATTACGTAATGTATTCGCATTCGGATAAACAATTTTAACAACAAAAAGTGAGGAAAACAAATATGGACGTCATTCGAATTCAATTTTATTTAGTAACTCATTAAGACAAAATGGTATCGTGGTCACGTAGGTTTTAAGGCAGACGCAGGCAGGCGATCGGCGCGCGGAGTCCCTCGCGCGTCCGGCTAGCTGCTAGCAATATTATATGGCAATAGCGACGAGTAGGGATGAGCGAGTGAAAAACTATATTGATATATATCGTATCGATATTTTAAACAGTATCGATATAATCATTTGATGAATATCGATATATCGTAATGCTTTGCATAACGTTCTACGATAAGGCTCAAAATGGTATTACCGGACGGTTGGATGACGAAAAAAAACTACAACGACACATGAATGTTTTTGTAGCTTCTTTTGTTGCTTAATGTTTTGTCGATTATATATCATTTTAAAATTAATACGAATTCGACACTCTACTGAAGTTCTGAGAACGGTTTTACTGGGTCCATTGTCGTGACGATGTCGAGGATTGGTGTCGCAAATGTACAAGTTGTGCAGCTGTGAAGGGACCTCAGACTCGTAGTAGAGGTGCATTGAATTTGTACAATGTTGGTGCACCATGGGAGAGAATAGCTCTTGACGTTGCGGAGCCGTTTCAGAAAGGTGAAAGAGGTACTCCTAAGATCGTCCATGTGGATTGACTGGCGCGTTATTATGGGACCGGTAATGTTTGGGACGAGCATGTCTTTGCAGGGGCCAGTGTTGCGCGCCATAGTTGATGCCCGATATATGGCACTAGTGCCATCTAGTATCGAGTAGCAGAAATAGGAGCGTCAAGAAATTTCCAGGAAATTCACTAACGCCATCTAGTATCGAGTAGCAGAACTAGGAGAGCTTTCTAGAAATTTTTTTGCTAGAACATTCGACATTCTACTCGAACAATCTAGATGTTTTTAGTAGAAAAGGGTCCTATATAAGACTGTTATTGTCCGTGATCCGGGCTGTGTCGAATTGGCGACACAAGTGAAGACTTCGGAGCGAAATAAAGTGAATTAAATTGTTAAGCGTGATTAGTTACTAGTGTGCTTTTAAGTTGTAATTGGTGTTCAGTAATTAAAGTGTTAATTCTGGTAATTCAATTAGCAGTTTTTATTGTCACGAATCTCAAGCTCGTAACAGTCCGAACGAAAGGTAATCCGAGACGACGGAAGAGAGATCAGGCGCAGGACCAACGGCTTTACGTGCTTCCGGAGGCACGGTGGTGAAACTCCGCCAACTTCAATTACTTCGAAATCAATATTCCGGGTTGCTACTGAGAATTTTGTGACAGAAAAACCCAATAAATGATTCTTGGCCCGACTCGGGTTTCGAACCCGGACCACATGATCAGCAATGGCGATCGCCAAGAAAGCAGTCAAGTGTTAAAATATTAATAATTTTAAAGGCGTCCCGCTCTGAGGAAAAATATAGAAATAAATGGTCACTTTACTCATACCTATAACTAATATTTACTTATCAGTTTGTTTTATAAACATACTTAGTCCCTATATTTACATGTTTATTACTTGCTACTAGCTCACTGAGTGGATACTAGGACTTAGGAAGGCATTCAAGCCGGTTTGGATGCCTAATTTTTCACTACCTCTCAATGGCATACCACGGTTATCAATATTTTTAATATATTGTTACGTTTATATACGACGACAGTGGGCGTGATAAAGTTGTACGCGGGTACTCTACGACGCTGTGGACGACTGGCGGGACTGTTTGGTCGGCCCGCGCGCTACTTAATCGCACAATATTTATTTGTTATTTCTTTTTAAAATTATATATACTCTTTTATTGAAAAATAAAGCCATGATTCACTTACGTGTTTATTGGTGAACACATAGCCTGAATTTAATTTAAATTGATTTCATTACATTCGAATAAAACTGCTTTTTCACTTAGTGGACGTACCTAAAATTGTATATTTTGAGGAATACTTTGCTATCTTTTTCTATTGAGCCAAAATGTGTCAATCGTGTTTTGGCCACCATAATTCACTAAGAAATATCTTTAACTTTCATAATAAATTTAATTTCATAATAAAAAAATGTGAATTCATAGTTTTTAATGAAAAAAATTGCTTTTCTGCGCACCTATAAAGCGTGAAAAATTTGCTTTTGGCGCCCACTTACTTAAATTCATTAATAATGAGTTAAATAAAAGTAATTAACAGTAATTCACAATTATAGATATTGTATTTTTCAAAACGCCACTTAAAACTAGTTAAATAAGTACTATAAAACACGTTCGCGCCACCCGCATGTATTGTCTATCAGACTCAGTGAAGTGCGCTAGCACAAGGTCGGTTCGCCCCCTGCCCCGTAGTACCCCACATCGTTGCTCTGTCTGTACAAGTATATTCGTTTCCCAACTGTAAGGTATTTAAACTGTGACTATACTGTGTGACGAATCTTAAGGATATAAATGTACTTTATGGTATATAAAAGAATTACATAATTGTGACAAAAATATTACGTAAGAGAATTCGCTAAGACACCTAATATCTCGGGAGTGTCGTAAGAGGCGACGAGGTAATCGGACAAGATATGGGCGGCAGCATAGAATACTATAATACATACATAATAGAACGGGGGTGTGGGCGGAGCCCGTGTAGCCACTAAAATGTCACAAGACGTCAATTCACACGTATAAATGTCAACACGAGATGTGTTTTGACGTTACAATCGTTTCCAAATTTCGCATGCAAATTATTTAGAAAATGCCAAATTGCACGCTACAAATATATGTACGTCTGTCAACACAGCGAATCGGGTTTGTGGTAGTGATTGACTGATAATACGACGTAATTGCTTGTATGTGTGCACCCGGCGACGCCGAACCTCGGTACAAAATAAGGTTGACAGCCATTCTATTGTGTATTATAGTATTCTATGGGCGGCAGTGTCGTATCTTCCTGATAATAGTTCAAAAGAATTAAAAACTGTGGTTGCCAACCCACCTGCCAAGCGTGGTAAATTTGGCAAATTTTTGTTAGGCTGGAATGACGATGATGATGATAGAAGAGTCCAATCAAGAACGACCATAACCAAAAAAGGAATAAAAAGAGATAAACACTCACCAAATACAAATTAAGCTACCGTGTCTGCACCTGGTGAAACTTGACTCGACACTTGCTTCCCGCTAGATGACAGAATCATTTTGTACAATTCCACATTTTTTAATGGTGGTCGCGAATGGAACTCATTTAAATCACTGTTCTCCTTCAACTTCTGCATCTTCTGCTCATCTATTGGAGGGAGTGGGATCTCTTTCGAACTCCTCATTAAATTAGCTCTTCTTATTTTATGAACGTATGCAAACTCGGGTGCTGGACTTGTAGACTTCTTCTCGTTTTCTAGATTCCTCTTCTCTACTATGACGCTTTCTCTCGCATTATTTGCTTCTAGAATGTACGATTTGTCAATGTAGTCTTTGCTGTTTACTTTTTCCTGTTTGAATTCTTTCCTTAGATCGACTTCCACTTCGAGGCACATATGTTTTTGTATGACTTCGTCTGTTAATGGTGGTAGTGGGTTGAGAATTTCTAATTTGTTCTTCTCGTTTGTTCCATTCGTGTCCACTGGCTTCTCCGCCTGTCCGTTTGTGTCAGTAGCTTGCTTTAAAGCGCCTTCATCGCACTCGACTGCAGTGGCTGGGACATAATCTGGATGAGTATTTCTGATATGACGCTCCAGGTTGTCTTTTCTTCTGAACCTTCTGTTGCAAACTTTGCAGCGGAACGGTTTCGAGTCTGTACCAATAAGGAAATGCCAAGATTAATAATAGTATAGGGATGGACAAGAAAGTGATCTCATAAGGGTCGAGATTCACAAGGTGCATGTGCGGCCTAACATTGACTGCTGTTGTCATCTCTGGGCTGGAGCTCTCTAGTGCCAGCTCCCTCCACGTGACCGCATCCAATGCAGAGCGGCTTGAATCGTCGACGACCGAGTTCTATTTGATCGGATCGATTCACTACGCTGCAAAGAGATGTTGCATCCCTTTGCATTTTCTATCTCGATTACCATAGGGAGTGCCAAGAGAAATTGTTCGGATTAATTTCAACCGCCTAATTTCACCAACGCATTTCACTAATCCACATCGTCGGGATCTTTGGCGGTCGATACTGTCCGATTTGCTAGGAGTTATCCTCCTCGCACGACGTCTTTGCGGAATCATTTACCATCGGCGATTATTCCGGACCGATACGACTTAGGGATCTTCAAGAAACAAGGTTATTTCGATAATTGATAGAATCAGACGTTACTTTGCGGAAATCCATTATAATAAAAAATAAAAATATAAATTTCTTTGGAACTTTCCGCTAAACATATAAAATGATGTGTCTTACCTGGATTGAAGCGCACCTGCCGCCCTCCCTCAATTACATACACTAACTCCGTCACCACTAGACCAAGCACCACTACTCTCAACACCACTATTCCAGGCAAGACACACCATCGACGATAATACGACACGTGTTTCGCCTCTACACGAGGCATCTTCAGGTAATATAGACTCTACGGCGGCTGACCGCTAAGTGAGCTCTCACTTAGCGGTCAGCCGCCGTAGAGTGAGATACTCACTTAGCGGTCAGCCGCCGTAGAGTCTATATTACCTGAGGATGCCTCGTGTAGAGGCGAAACACGTGTCGTATTATCGTCGATGGTGTGTCTTGCCTGGAATAGTGGTGTTGAGAGTAGTGGTGCTTGGTCTAGTGGTGACGGAGTTAGTGTATGTAATTGAGGGAGGGCGGGAGGTGCGCTTCAATCCAGGTAAGACACATCATTTTATATGTTTAGCGGAAAGTTCCAAAGAAATTTATATTTTTATTTTTTATGAGGTTATTTCGTTTAAAAAGCTGGCATCACACCTGCAATCTCTGGTGTTGCATTTGTTAATAGGCGGCGTTCAACACTTACCATCCAGGTGAGCCGCATGCTTGTTTGCCCCCTTTATATTTATGTACCTTTTTCGAACAATGTTCTTTTTCATATTCAGTGCTGTCGAGGACGTGTTGCTTAACAAAGCACACAGAAGGCATACCACTGCTAGATAGATTGTATTACATATCAGCAATTGCATAGCTTCGGTGGCTCTGAAGAAAGCCGTTTGGGTTTGTTTAAGCGAAAGAAAAAAATATTTACATCCAATACAATACATGAACAAAAGCAAAACACGAACAAAGTACAAACAAACTATGTACAAAATTAAAAAAAAAAAAATATTTACATTCTAATGGATAAGAGATAAGATAAGGTGGAATCGTATCGCTTTCTTATGGAAAGATTTAATTACGTCCACGTAAAATGTTGGTGAACGTTTTAATTGTACCAATAACTGTTTTTAATTGCGATAATTGATAAGTCTGAAATACACTCTTAACCTTGTGTATTATCTCAACAAAGTTAAAAGATTTCCGCTCCGATTATCACTTTAACATACTTCAATTCATCACAAGGAACACCATTATCCTCCATTTTCATTAAAAATCTTTAAAAAAGCATAAATTTTGAACTCGTAATATTAAATCGCTTAAGATAAGCACACAGAGTAAATAAACATTGAAACGTGAAATGAACTTGCAAACGTATTGCCCACGCGCCTCCGCTTTTAACAAATTGATTCCCAAAAGCCTGGCTTTAAATCTCTATATTAATTGCTATATATACAATCGTAGTTATATTTCATTATAGAATATTTTGCCATAGGTTAGAAAGAGAGCGATCGTCTTTTCGAAAGCCCCGTAAAAAGCCCACGCGAGCGAGGGAGACAACTATTAGCTCTATTAAAACTCATTTTTTATGACAGCAGCAGTATCGCTGAGGCAATACGAGGTCATCGGTCGACATGTGTCGAACAGTGGAGTGCGCGGGAAATTTGAAATAGCTTGAAACATTTTACGAGTTATTTTATTAGTTGATATTATTGATTGATTCAGGTTTAATAAGGCAAGCCCGGCTTTTCGGCTTTAATGGAAGCTTCGCCACTGAGCTTGACCATGAAATAGCAGCTTAATACATAAGCTGCTATTTCATGGTCAAGTCGACTGCAGCATGGTTCTACTGCGTACAATAAGAATCACAAGGTTTTATAAAGCTTTTTTTTAACGAGGATGTTAAAAAATAGGTGTGTGCTTGTTTAGAGAGTTGTCTCACTAACCAGAGTGCACGGCGGCGTGGCGTCGCATGTCCTTGCCGGAGTGGAAGGCCTGCGGGCAGCGCGGGCACTGGTAGGGCCGCAGCGCGCGCACTCCCGCGCCCCGCACCCCACCACCCCCGGCCTCACAGTTCCCGCCCTTGCCGCAACCCTCGCAATTGCATTTCTTCACTGCGGATATTGATACCAATCATGTACATTCATATACATCGTGTCATCCTATAACATTTCCTTAAATTTAATGAATCGTCATAATGAATAAATTAAATATTCTTTATTGTACGCCAATAAACCATGGGGATAAAACAACAAATTAAAAACTACTCAACCAAAATAATTAGACGCATGACAGCTAATACGTCAGTGTAACTAGGGAGGGGAATACCAAATCACCTGAACACTGATTGATAGATGAATATAATTCATACTTGGTAGAAGGTACAAACTAGTGACCCCCCGCTTCTCTATCCCCCCTGACAGCTGGGGGGACAGAGACGGGGTCCGGGCGCCGAAATCGCATACCTGTCATGGGCCTAGTTGTATCGGTCAAGTAGTACAAGTTAGTACAATTGGGGCCTTCTCACTCAGAAGCCTCACTCTCAGAAGATCTATACCAGACAACTACATTGTTGAGGATATAATGACTTGTGAGAAAAGGTAAGGGTGTACAAGTTATAATATATACTACTCGTGCAGTTAAAGAATGGAACTGAAAATGGTTTCGCCTCTATTTATCTCTCGCTCGCACAGTCGCTATATATATTCACACCGACCGGTAGAAACAACAAAAAATATATGTTGCGATATGCATTTTTCGTGCTTGCTAAAACTTCAGTCCGACTTGTCATTTTTTTACATAACTATTGTTGATTTTGTTAATACTTTTGTAAAGTGGCTGTTATTGTTTTTTATTATTAGGTATTGTAAAGCGTTGTTACTTATTTCGTTTTTGTTGACTATTTCGTTATTTGGTATTTTTCTTTTATTATTTTATCTACATTCTGTTAACAATGGAATATAAACGCGGGGAGGTACTACATAGTACACACGGAAATTGTATATAACGTAATAAAGTATTTTGAAGTAGAGAAAAATCTGGAATGTTAGCACCCATTGCAATATAGTAATGCAAGGCCAGGTATAGCAACATGATTGTCACTCGACTTAAAAAAGATGGTGAGTACCAAATTTATCTAGTATATATCCATTTGTTTATAATTAATGATTCGAACAGACTATATACCATTAAATAATATATGAAAATATTGTATTCTCTACTCAATATTCGTTTTTTAAGCGCTGTCCGTTCTTAGGGTTCCGTACACAAAAGGTGCCCAGTATCGTACCGTTACATCCTATTACAGTTCACTACTGAATAAGCCTGCGCTTGTCTTGTTGCTTGTCGCCATAGATTGTCTCATTTGTGGATTTTGTCATAGTAGAGCCACGCGGCAGCTTTGCTGTTGCACGTATGGGCCGGCTCTAACCGGGGTGGTACCACGACCTCACAGAATACCGGCGTGAAGTGGAAGCTCTGCTTCCGCGTTTCGTCTGGTGAGTGCAGGTGGCCGGAGGCCCAAATCCCCCCCCCCCCATCAACATGGTAGCGGAATTAAATGATGATAGACTACCCCAGGAGGGTACGAGTACCCCTGGAGAATCCCTCGCTGAACATCCACGACCATGTTTCTACACTTCTGAGCGTGGGTGCTCAGGCTGCCCCGCGTAATCTGGGGGAGGTGGGGGGGGCAAAATTCCGCTCAAGACTACAACTGCTCGGGGCAAACGGAGCAACAAGACCAAGGCGACCCCTGCCATGCTATCCGTGAATTTCTGCAATATCAGGGGACTTCATTCTAACCTAAACGCCGTCCACTACCATCTCGAGACGGCGAGGCTGGCTCTGCTCTTTCTGACCGAGACGAAGGTGTCCTCTCCGGCTGATGTCTCGTATCTCTCATACCCGGGGTACAAACTGGAACACTCCTTTGTGCCTCGGGCTGGAGTTTGCGTTTACGTCAGAGAGGACATCTGTTCTCGACGCCTCGGCAGTCTTGAAGGTTTGGACCTGTCCATTCTTTGACTACGCGTAGACAGCGACGACCATACGCGCGTCTACGGGTGCCTCTATAGGTCCCAAGCGGTAATGCCGAAATAGACCGACTCTTCGACCACGTCCAAATGGCTACAGATTCGTTGCTACAGCAGATCCCCTCCGCAGAGATCGTGATCCTCGGCGACTTTAACGCCCATCACGCCGAATGGCGTGGTTCACGTTTAACCGATCATGCGGGGAGATCTGTTCATGATTTTGCCTTGGCATATGGTCTGACACAACTGGTTACTTCGCCTACGCGGATTCCAGATGTGGAGGATCATGCACTTTCCCTGTTTAGGCTCCTCGGACGATTGTCTCGTCCGGAGTGTGGTGCCACTCAAGCTGAAATCGCAGTTGCATTCTGCAGGCTGCCGCCGTGTTTGGCACTATAGGTCAGCCGATTGGGATGGGATGCGGTCCTTCTTTGCACCCTACCCTTGGGGCGGGTTTGCTTCTCTCCGGACGATCCCAACGTTGTTATGGATTCTGTCGCTGATGTGGTACTTCAGGGTATGGAACTTTTTATTTCTTCCTCTGTGGTGCCCATTGGAGGCAAATCTCAGCCATGGTTTGGTCGCTCCCGTAAAATAGCATCATGCTATAAGCATGAGTGCTACCAAGCCTGGGCTGACGCATCAACGTCCCGGGATGTAAACACCAGCGCTCTAAAAAGAAGTATAATTCCGCCTCTAGGTCCTTCAAAAGAGTCATAGCCAAGGCAAAGTCTGAGCACATAGGCAGAATTGGCGAGAAACTAGTTTGCCTTCCTTTCTGGAACCCGTTTATTCTGGTCTCTCGCCAAGGCTGTCCAGGGGAATTTCCGTCAGCTAATCTGTTCCATCTCTGCACAGGGAGGACGACTCACTGGCCCATACCGCAAAGGAGAAAGCCGATCAGCTAGGTTCTTTCTTTGCGTCCAACTCGACTCTCGATGACGGGGGGAGTACGCCGCCGACCATCCCGCGGTGTCAGTGCTCCATGCCGGAAGTGCAGTTCACACAGCGCTCGGTTCGCAAAGCACTCCTCTCCCTGGACATCCACAAGTCGACTGGACCTGACGGAATCCCCCCAATCATTCTGAGGACGTGTGCTCCAGAATTGGCACTGATTTTAACGCGTCTTTTCCGGTACTCATACTCCCTAGGCGTAGTCTCAAAATCATGGAAGACGGCTTTCGTCCACCCGATTCCTAAAAAAGACGACCACTCAGACCCATCCAACTACCGGCCTATCGACATCACCTCCTTTTTCTCCAAAACAATGGAGTCTATTGTTAACTGCCAGCTCATGAGGTACCTTGAGGATCACCAGCTGACTAGTGATCGCCAATACGGTTTTCGCCGTGGTCGGTCAGCTGGTGATCTTCTGGTTTACCTAACTCACAGATGGGCGGAGGCAGTAGAGTCCAAGGGGGAGGCATTGACCGTTAGTTTGGACATTGCGAAGGCCTTCGACCGGGTTTGGCACAAAGCGCTTCTTTCGAAGCTCCCTTCCTATGGGCTTCCCGAGAAATTGTGCGATTGGATCACCAGCTTTCTTGCAGATCGGAGCATCAAAGTCGTAGACGGTGCAAGCTCCGATTACAAGCCTATTAATGCTGGTGTTCCACAAGGCTGCGTGCTATCACCAACACTGTTTCTTCTGCATATCAATGATATGTTGCCAACTCGTAACATTCATTGCTATGCAGATGACAGCACTGGTGATGCTCTTTACACCGGCCATGCTAATATTTCTAGGGAAAACGTCTCCGAGTACCGGGACAAACTTCTGTCTAAAGTCGAGTCTTTGGTGAACAGAGTCTCGGATTGGGGGCGACTAAATCTAGTCCAGTTTAACCCCTAGAAGACACAAGTCTGCGCGTTAACCGCTAAAAAGAACCCCTTTGTCGTATCTCCTCAGTTTCAAGGCACTCCCCTTGTTGCCTCAGCCAGTATCGGAATCCTCGGCGTCGACATATCGAGTGACGTGCAGTTTCGTGGTCACTTGGAAGAGAAGGCCAAATTGGCCTCTAAAAAGCTTGGCGTGATCAGCAGAGCGGGACAGTATTTCATGCCGGCACACCGCCTGCAACTTTACAAGGCGCAGGTTCGGCCGTACATGGAATACTGTTCCCATCTCTGGGCTGGGGCTCCCCAGTACCAGCTCCTTCCACTTGACCGCATCCAGCGCAGAGCGGCTCGAATCGTCGACGATCGAGTGCTTTCCGATCGGCTCTATTCACTGGCGCTGCGAAGAGATGTTGCATCTCTTTGCATTTTCTTTCGCATATACCAGGGGGAGTGCTTTGAAGAAATGTTCGGATTAATCCTAGCCGCCAAATTTCGTGAACGCACTACGCGGCTAACGTCTCGATACCGTCCACACCATCTGGATGCTTGGCGGTCCACCACTGTACGTTTCAAAAGGAGTTTTCTTCCGCGTACAACCTCTCTGTGGGATAGTTTACCACCGGCGATTTTTCCGGACCGATACGACCTGGGGACCTTCAAGAAAAGAGCTTACTCCTTTCTAAAGGGCCGACAACGCACCTGAAATTCCCCTGGTGTTGCGGTTGATCATGGGCGGCGGTTTGCCCCCTATTCTATAAATTTCCGTCTTTTGATTCTGATTTACCACGTGCTCGGCGGTGAAGGAAAACATCGTGAGGAAACCTGCATGTCTTGAGGAATAGGAAAAAATATTTCGAAGACATGTGAAGTTCACGAACACGCATTGGGGCAGCGCGGCGGACACTTCCTTGCCCTAAAACCCTCTCTGAAATGAGGGGAGGCCTGTGCCCAGCAGTGGGACGTATATAGGCTGTAACTTTACTTTACTTTTACACTACCCGGTGGAGTGCCCAACGGAACCTATTACTGAGTCTGTCTCTTTGTCGCTAGGCTGTTACTTTTTAATTATTTGTTACCATAATGGTCACTTTGATCGCAAATAATGAAAAGAAAAAAAGTTAAAGTCCAAGGGGGATCTTTATATAAGAAATCTCGAAAAAAGTTAATTTTCCAACGATTTTTTGTTCTTCTTCTTCTTCATCTTAAAAATAGTAATACCATCATTGAATATAACTATTTTT